CGGTCCTTTTGAAACGTTCCCGTCAATAACTTAGCATAAATGTGTGCCGCTGGGAAGTTTTGCTCAGCTGTCAGTCTCTTCATGCATCCCCCGTCGGGAAGAAACGCAGGCCAGCGGTACTTCTCTTACCAGCTGCGCAAATCATTTTCTTCAGACCCATGGCCTTATGCAATAGATATTGACACAAACAAAGAAAACATCTACCAATGCTTACTCGGGGATAGACATCACCGTTAGCACGTTATTCAGCACAAATCAGACGGGAGGAATTACTTACACCCTCTCCCTTAAAAAGCAACCCAGTTGCAGAGAGAAGCGTGCATCACAGGGACAAGATGGCAGATTTATTACATCCAAGCTGGAAGCAGTGAAATAAATATCATGAATAGCTCTGCACCTAGCATCACATATATTCTTTTCCAAACGCGCTGTTCTGTACGAGTTATTATAGAAGTATATCTTGGAAAGTCTTTGGCCACGCGCAGCTCTGGTCTCCGCGCGGAGCAAAGCGATGCGGAAGGCAAACGCCACGTTGCCTGGGACTAACCTGGGGACAAGGAAGGCCCAAAGCTGCTTTTGGCCCATGATAAACCCTTGGCTACAGTGACTCATCTGCCATTTATCAGGTTCACCATTGTACTTTTAGACCTACAGCCAAAAAAACAAACAAAACAAACGTCCGAGATCAAAGTTGTGTCCCCAGCCCTGACAAACAGGTTACACAACTCGCATCGCTAACTATAACTGTCGTGTGCTTGCCAAACGCTGCTCTAGACGTGTATTACCTTGAGAGTTGATGATGTTTGAGACTAGGAAACAAATGACCAAAATTCCCCGTAGTGATCTCTGCTCAAAGACAGCCCTGCCAAACGTTGGCTTACATAAGAAGAACAGTTGGCTATTTTCCTCAGCAAAAAAGGTCTTTAAAGAGAAGCAGAAGCATGTAGCCAGGAGACAGACATGTTCCACTTTGAGCGTTATTCCTAGTTAGCCTGAAATTTTATAGAGAATAACCAGGAGAGTGGAGACGGACAGCTAGGGCACAGGTAAACTTTTGCTTCTAAGTCAATCCCAGCTATTGAGGACTATTTAACTTTTTGATGAGGCTGTTTGTTTCCTTTCAGGAGCCACATGTATTCACAGCAGGCCAAAGAGCGAGTGGCGAGCGCCCTGTGCTGCATGCACTAGGAGGCAGGGACGTGCGCAAGGCTGAAAGCCCCCTTTGCCGAGACGTAGCCACTGTCCACCCTTGGAGCTACCATTTTCAAATGTGGCAACAAAGGAAACTTGGAAACTTAAAAACCCTTCATGACAATCCACCTCACCCTGTTATTGCCCAGTTTCCACACTTTCAATTTGTAGTAAGGACATTTTTATAGCAAACAACCTTCTAGTAGCCTCTAGGCGAGGCTCCATATAACACCAGGTTTCACATTGGCAGACCCTCCCATCACAGCAAATCACTTCAGCACTGCAGGCTCCCATCACCTACCTATCCACTTTCTAAAGTGAATCAAGGTCCTCATCTACAAAGCCCTCTGCGGCTTAGGACATAGCCCATTTGAGATCCAACTCATCTCTTCTCAGCAGCCCTTGCCAGCTACGTTTCAGGGGACACCCCACGTACAAACATCCAAATTTAACTTCTCAAAGGGCAGGACAAGAAGTTCTCAGGGACAGAACCTAAACTTTAGGGTTTCTTGCAAGGAAGATCAGTTTGTGTCCCAGTGCGTGCGTGTGTCATCGCACCAGTGTGAAACTCATGCCCCTTCAGTAAAGTCAAATGATATGCAGTAAAATCCCCTACAGATCCACAGAGACATTATTAATGGGGAAACACACTTAGAAAAAGAAAACCTCCATTTTGTCCTGGACTCCTCCTTCACAGTTTTAAGTGGTATTTCAGTTCTGCAGAGACAGACACCTTCAAATGAAGGGAGGAGGGAGGGCAGGAGAAAGAGCTTTTTATTGAGGTAGGCTAGGACGATTTTCCCCAGCCTTTTATTCAGCACTTTTACTGAGATTTTTAAAGGCAGGCATAATCCTCTGATGTATTGATTTGGAATATCATGCAGAAGGCTTATTTACTGTTTCAATCACTTTGATTTCCAAACCTTTCCCCACTAACGTGCTTGCTCTGGAATACAACAACTGAAGGTGACCCTTCACAGGTCACTGCAATTTCCTTTCTTTATTATCTCATTGCTCTTCATGTTGAATTTCATTAGTACCTAGTAACTCAATAAGCTTGGTCTAAGTAGGTCATTCTGAATTTAGTTACTGCCCTCCTTTCATATAAACCCATCCCCTTTATTTGTCTGCAGCCACACTGAGCTGCAGTCCCCACGTCTCATCTGAGATCGTGGTCCTTACTTGGGCTCTGTATAGACTCCATACTCTGCTACAGTCACTGTCACAAAGGTCTTAAAATCCAAATAAGCAGCAAGAAAGGTGATCTTCATTTTACAAATGGGAACACGAGGCACTAAGAGCTGACGCATCTATCCCAAGTCTGTGGCAGAGCACAGAAAGCACCAGATCTGCTTCCAGCCCTGTAACACTTTGCTGTCCACTTAGCTGTCAGTGCAAGCGCCTAAAGCAGACTTTGATTTCCCAGCCAAGTCTGCAGCCAGCAGATTGGTTCCTCAGACACATTTGCTTTTCTGCGCAGAACAGCAACTCATCGTTGCATGCAGACTTTTGCCAGCCCTCTCAGCACTAGAGGAATTTGACAGATTAATTGGTTCAGCTTCCTGCTCTGCCTGTGACATACAACCAACCCACAAGTGCAAAAACCCCTGTGTAACCTGTGATTAGGGAATCACACCACCCTTCATCCTGGCAATCTCCAAAAGTGTAATACCTGTAGTATCCAACAGTCAGGGAGTCAGCCAGTGGAGCAGACTGGTTTAGAGCAGAAAACCAGTCCAGCTCTTCAAGGGGTAGAAGATTTTGCAGAAGTCAACTTTTCTAGATATCTCTTAAAACTACTAGATCAATACAGGGGGAGGCTCTCCACAGTGAGCCGTGGAAGGAAGGTAAGAGGAGAAAAGGGACAAAAATAGCACTCTGCAATGGACATTGTGCTCACGTACGACACGACTGGCTATTCCAGGGATGAGAGGAGCTGAAACAAGAGCTTCAGCTATCTTCTTAGGGCTCGCTACCCACAGAAGTCATTGGCACCCTGCAGTGCCAGCCCAGACAGCCCCAAGTTATTTTCCGAAAGTTGTGACAGGAAGAAATTGGGCCGGCCCACAGAGAACGCATGGAGGGATTTTCCCAATCTTGATTTTACAAAAGCAGCAGAGAGGGGAAAAGCCCGTTCTTCGGTGTTTAAGCAGCCTCTGCGTAGAGGAGCGGGGTCAGTGCTCTGCCGAAGCCGCCGTCCTGCTGGAGGGCAGCGGGCCGCAGCGTCAGGATGCTCGAGGCAAGAGGCAAAACTGCAGCAGCGATAAGGTGCCTGCGGCAGCGCCAAGCCCGCAGAGGAATGGCTCGACTGGCACGGGTCCACCTAGCCCCATGCTTTGCCCTGACAGTATTAAATGCTGCACCAGAGAGTATAAAGCGCAATGCAAGGATAAAGCAATCCTTTCCCTCGTATGCACGCTAGCAGTCACCAGTTTAGGGGCTTAATTGCATGCAGATCACAGAGTGTTTCCTTGAAGCGTCAGTTTAGCATGCCTAATCCCTTTCTGGACCCACTCCTCCTTTCAGCCTCCTCAGCAGTGCCACAAAGAGTTACAATTAGCAGCGCAAAGGGCAGTCCAAGCAGTGCAGGTAGCATTAATAGCCAGCAGCAGTGGTGCTTACACCGTGGTCCGACCAGCTCGTTTCCTAGTGTTGATGCAGCTTCAGCAGCAGCTGTGGTTTCCCCTCCTCAAGCCTGTGCCCAGAGTCACCTCCATCCGAGCACCAGCAAGGAAACCCTACTCTTAAACACGCTATACAGAAAAAGTGTACATTTTCCTGGAGAGTTTCCAGCTCTCAAGTCTTCTGGAATAGATATAGTTTTCTGTACAGAACTGATGCCTTTATACAAATACCTTTCAACAGCGCAGCCCTCAGAGTCAATGCACTTTGTTCATTCTGAAGCCTGTAAACACAAATTGTTTAGTTTGGTTTGAGGCAATATTCTTGGTTCACAGCCAGTTGGTATTCGGTGGGGGGGGGGGGGGGGGGAAATTATTTTAACAATTTGTTTTGACCAAGATGCTAACAAATTAATTTCTAAAAGGTAACAAAGACATGCTGTTCTTTCTAGTTCTGCATGCTGGGTTGCTCTTGTCCTTTCAAATTACAATGCCCGTATTCAGAGGCTTTGTTACAAGAAGTGCAACAACATGCCTTGGAGAAATTTCAGCTCTTTTTATAGATCAGTTGATTTCTGTGCCTGGTCTAAAACCAAGATTGCTGCTACCAAGGCCACCTCTTCTAGGTTAAAACAGCTCCACGCTACTCATTTCCACCTGAGGACAGAGTGGAAAATTTCAACCTGAAAAGCAAAACTTTTAGTTTCTCTCAGGTCTCAACTTGCTTAAAGTGTAAAAAGTGCTTCAGGAAAGGTTTTACATCACACTGTTTCACCCAATTAAACTAGAAGTTAATCGAGTAGTTCCCTAGAATACTTCTTTAAGAAATAAAAGAATTGAACTCCTTAGAAGTGAATCTGCAAGTGGAAAATCCTCTACGCTACAGAAGAATCAGAACCCACAGTTAAGGATTGCCCCAAGCAGGCATTAGCTTCTTTCTGTTTTACTTTTAGCTTCCCTAACACCCGTGCACACACATTGCACAAGAGCAGCAACAGAATTTCCTCCCCACCAACAGCAAAAACATTTCAAAAGCCTGGTACCCAATAGTCTGAATTATATTAATATTTTTAGATATGCGTGACGGCACGTGGTGCTATATGTGCATGGCCCCAGCCTGCTCTGCAGCGGTGGCAGCCACCAACCCCACCAGCCTCGGGGCAGGAGTATCTGGTCCCGTCCCGCTTTGCACAGGGGCGCTTCCCTACAGCGGACACGTTACGGATCAGGGTCAATAGTGCTCAATTATTTTGTTATACTTTATCTGGATGTGGCTTTCCCCATATAGTCTAACACATACTACAAGGAGATGATCGTGCCTCTGCATAAGGTCCTAAAGCCACATGGATGCTGACGTGCTCCCGAGCCTTCATAACATCACAAGCACCAATCCTTGCACCGCTGCTACACTTAGCACAACTCCATATGCTGCATCAATGACAGGTTTTTTCTTTAAACGAAAGCTTTCATGAGCTAAACAAGTCAAATGTTTTCTCATCTGGTTCTCAGCATTATTACCTGCAAGACTACCTAAACACTTATATCAGAGAAAAGCAGATGTATTTCCAAGGAACAGCGAGGAAAGGATCACATCAAACATGAAAGATACAAATGAGTGCAATGCTATTTTGATTCCTTCTGCAACTAACATTGGACCATACTTATTTTGAAAGCCTGCTATTCTATTTCTGGGTGTGAAGAACGCTGATCGCAGGGACTGCTAAGTCCTCAGCACTGTTAAGCAAACAAAAATAACATCAAGAGTAAGCAAAGCGAACTCTAGAATTTTTTTTTTTAGCCACTAATACTTTTAAGGAGTTTTTACAAGGCATCAACTCCAATCATCGTTCTCGGGGATCTTCTTTTTTTCCCCCCTGCCTCTGGCCAGCTTGCAACGCCTGAGGCGCTGTTTGCACAGCTGTTAGCACCCTCCGTTCTTGCTGCCTTCCTCCAAGTGCTTCGCTTTCCCAAACAGCGGATGCATAAACCAAGCCGCTCAAAATAAGGAGATGCATTTGCAATTAATGGACTTGAGTAACTTATTAGAAGTTGGGGGAGCCCGGTGCTAGTAAGATAACCCATTCCGCCTCCCGGGGATCTCAGCAAACATAATTGCAAACGTCAGTGATATTTTCGGAACACGGGTGGCTCCATTTCGTTTCATCATCGTTTGGCAACGCGCTAAATCGGCGGTTTGCAGGTCACAGCCCCGTCAGAGACGGCCAGGAGGACAACCGGCTGCTGGAGGCTCCAGATCGCGCGCTGCTCAGGCTCCTTCGTACTGCTGCTGCGGGCGCCTGGCTCCACGGCACCCACGAAAAGGGTGCCCTCCTTGCCGTTTTGCTGCCGCCCGTTTCAGCGGGCGTCAGCACACGCGCTCGCGCGTGGCGTGCCCCACCGCGAGAGGAGCGG